TATGAATGTGGGGATGACAGCATACAGGTGACTCTTAAAGCCCCAGAACCTGATAAGATCAATGTGATGGGGAAGCTCTCTGTGCAGGGGCTGAGTCCTCGGATGCTCCTGCATCAAGAGGGCAGGAGAGAAACCAGCAATGGAAGGAGCAACTCTGAGGTGTGAGAAAAACAGAAGCATGCATATAGCGGAAGTCAAGAAAAGTATTTGAGGAAGAGGAAGACCAATGGCGTTGAGCTCTGAAGATGAGGGCTACAACTGGCCTTTGGCCCAGCATCACAGACGACACTGAGAAGAAAAGGGCAGTCAGTGGAATGCAGGGGTGAAAGCCCAGTTGGAGTGGAGGGTGACAGGAAGGCGGTGGAGGCAGTGGGAGCAGGCAGCACCTGGGACAGGTTTTCTTGTAAAAGGGAGCAGAGAGATGCAGAGGTGCTAGCCAGAAAAGACAAGCAGGCAAGCTTACCAGAGGACCACAACAGCAAGATACTGCTGGTGGGATGACTGGTAGAGAGGAGGAAACAATCTGACAGAGGAGGGGAGCAGATGATACAGGCGCAACTGATGACTTGCTGGAACAATGTCCCAGGGCAGTACACAGGGACGAGACTTAGTGCACACATAGAGGAGTGGCTTTAGCTAGGAGCAGAAACACTTTGCTCACTGGGACAGGAGGAGGGTGGGGCCAGGTACAGAAATAGGTAGCACTGGGGACCTGCAGAACTTCAGGTTATTTTCTCACAGGTTATCAGCTGAAAGGGAGGATGGTAATGGAGAGGTTGGCCTGAAGGCGGAAAAGGAAAGGCGAAATAGCCATTGGCGCAGCAGGGGTGATGGGCTCTGCACTGAGCTGCGGGTCCTGGATGGCCACCAACGCAGTCTCAGTTCCCAGGATGGGCTTCACAGGGCACAGTCAGGGTAGCAATTTTCCTTGCCCCATGCGTTCAGAGGCACAGATGCAGTCTGGAGCTGGTCAGATGCTAGATTTAACCAGGCCTGGGTTTTGCCAAGCAATTAGGAAGAAACACAATGAAGTAAAGGAGTTGGAGTCTGCAAAGGAGGAAGTCTCCTGACTTATACAGACAGCTGCCTCTGAGCTGGCCCCAAGCCTGCACAAGTCCCTCTGTTGCTGGTGGCTAGAAGCCCCAACCGATGCCTACTATGGGTTATGGGGCGTCTTCCTTCACCCTCAAGCTCCTGAGAGGGGGGCCACAGGTAGTCACCAACACCTGGGGGAATAGTCACCCAAACACTCTTCCTCTGACCTGGATGGAAGGTACCTCAGCCTCAGGCCACTGAACAGTGCCTCCTCCATCACCCTTCCCAAGCTTCTGGCAGCAGCTCCCCCATCCACTCCGCCTTCTACTAGCCCAACACAGGCCCACTGTCTCCTCACTCCATTCCCTCCCACCAGTGCCTCCTGACTGGTCTCTTCTACCACGATGGCCTAGTCAGTCCGCCTCTCCCTCCTCAGAACACTGTGCCAGGATCATTTCCTCTGTAGAACCCCACAGTGGCTCCCAGAGCCCCGGGGAAAGACCAGCTGTGACCCACATTCCAGGGCAGCTCTAGGCTGGGTACCTCTGTCTCAGCCCCCAGGCCCCTCCTCTCTTTCTCTGGGCCTCCTCTCTTCCACATCAACAGACTACCTAGCTTGTCACCCCACCCTAGGTCCACACAGCCCCTACTCTCTGCTATCTGGTCTCAGGTAGACATTCAGAAAGCTTTTTTAGCACATGGATATGCCCCTGGGCACAGGTGACCAGGTGAAGGAAGCTTCTAGAGGTAGGGAAGCAGGAGAAACAGGACTGAAATAACATGGTTCCTCAGCTCAGTGGTCTAACAGAACCCCAACTCCTACAGGACAAACTAATACCATGTGCTTCATGATGTGACACACTGAGGAGGGTATGGAACTATCTATGGGATGTGCTTGCCCAAAGAAGTTTAGCCTGAATTTAATCATGAGCAAATAAGAAGACAAATCTAGAATACAGGATATTCCTGAAGACTTCAAAACAGATGATGTTTTTTTAATTATTTTAAAATCAAAGGACTTATCCAGATTAAATGAGACATAACTAAATAGAATGCATGCTCTCTGAACAAAAAATTACTAAATTTCTCAGGTATGATAATAGTATAGCCATTTTGCAGCAAAACATCCTATCTCTGAAAATTCACACTGAAGCATTCCCAGGCAAAGTGTTTAGATGCCTGCAACTTACTTTCAAAAGACAGGTAGCAGTAGGTAGATAGAGAAACGAATGTTCGGGCCTGGGGAGATGGCTCAGTGAAATAAGCGCTTCCCTGGCAAGCGCAAGGGCCTGAGTTCAATCCCTGGATCCGCCAAAAAAAAGAAAAAAAGAAAGAAAGAAAGAAATCAATGTTGCCAAATGCTAACCACTGGCACATCTGAGTCTGTAGGTAAAGAGTATATGGTGGGTGCTTGCTGAGCTATCAGATCTGACAAGCTAAGTGAGGCCACAGAGGTACAGAAGAGGTACAGAAGATGCACCCGGGTGGCCTCATCCTGTCCTGGGCTGGATGCTGGAGTCACTCAGGTCAGGCAGGCACAGCCCTGGATTGGGTCAGACCCTAAAGAACAGACTCCCCTGAGAGCAAACCCCTGAGGGGAGCCAGTTCTAACAAAAGATCCAGCCCATAGGATACCAGCAGGACAGCTTTCTGCCAGAGCAGGGAACTGGACCTCTCTCCACCTCCCCAGCTCTGGCCCCAGGCCGCTTCACACACACCCAAACACCTCTTGAGGGGTGACAGCCTGAGTGTATCCACCCGTTTGAGGAGCCAGGCTAAATATGGAGCCTCAGACGTAAGATGCCGCTCAAAACAGATTTTCCTAGAAAAGACCATCTGGCAATGGAAGTCTAGAGCATTGTCTATTGAGGGAGGCAGCGCAGATCTCCTGCAAGCTAGTGTCCGAAACAGGAATGCGTTCAACCCACTTCCCTTGGAGATCCTGGGTTACTGCCCCAGTTTCCCCAAGGTCACTGCATGGCCCAGATAGAGATGAATGCAGGCACACCTCTCTCCTAAGCGGAATCTCCAGGGAAGAGGATGAGTTTAGGGACGCAGGTCCAAAAGTTAGAAAGTTCTCCCCTGTCTCAAATCCTGCCTGTTACTTACTAACCAAGTGACTTTGAACAGGTAAACCCTCCCTGAGCTCTAGCACCGTCTGCACAAACCATAAGGAATGGACTGGCCTCCATCTAAAGGTCATGGGAGTGTAATTAGCACAGTGGTGCTGCTCAATAGATGGAAGCTGGGGGAGGTGACATCCTCAACCCCTCTCAATCCTGCCAAAGCAGGAAGTCACCCTTTCCAACTGGCTTTCCCTCCTGCCTTCAGGAAAGACCTAGGAGGCACTACGGGTCAGGACCTCTGCAGCAGTGTGCACCCCACAGCAGGACAAGTGACAAAAAAGGACTCTCAGCCTGGGACAGGGCAACCCTGGGACTTTGGGGTAAAAATAACACAAAAACTGAGGTTTCAACCTTGCCGGTGCACTACTGGAGGTCTCTCAAGGGCACCTTTTCACCCTTCTCCTTTAGCTGGGGTTACCACCACCTACTCACCTCAACACGTGGATACCCTCTGAGGGTTCTGGCCACACCCTGTGGGCCTGCCATGTTCCACCAGGACAAAATGTTGCAGAAGCCCCTCTCTAAATCACTGTTTCTACCATACTGCAGGAGAAAGGACTTTGGGAGGACAGATTTCTCCTCTATAACTGTGGGGTAGGCAGCAAAGGGGCTGATGGCCACATCACTGAGTCAGAACCCAGGTTGCAGAGCTCACAGCTTCTCTTCAAGACTGAGTCCTAACCTCCTAGGAGCGGGAGTAAGACTGTATCTGCCCAGGGCCAGGGGTTGGCCTTGTAAGTATGCCTGTCCAGTAAGCTGCCCAGAGTGACTGCATTAAACAGCTCTGGTCTCCAAGTCAGGAAAGAGCTGGGAAACCCAAAGAATCCAAACACCTCCCCCTAGACCAGGCTGCCCATCTGCGCTGGCCAAACCTTCCACCCTCTTTCTGGTCCTGAGCCTGCCTGGAGTCTTGAGCCCTCTCCCATGTGCCTGCTACATCTGCCCCCACTTCTCTTCCTACACCCCACAAGATGGCCCCAAGACAAAAGGGTGGACATTAGACAGTGCCCCCCATGTCCCTGCAGAAACAATGCTCCCAATTCTCATTCCAGGGAGCCCTCAGATTCTCCAGCGACATCAGGAGTCTGAATACCTCCTCTTAGGAGAGGCGACTGGTAGGGGTGGGCCCCACATTTGGACTCCCTGACCCACTCAGCCCCTGGCTGCTCCAAGGCCCCCTCCCTCCTTGCTGCTGCCACAGCCATTATTTGTCTCCTTCCCGGTGCCTGCCACGCCCCCACGCTAGCCCCTGCTCTAGCGGTGGAGTCAGCCAGCCTGGGAGGCCTGGCCACCAAGCCCGGCTGTCAAAGTTGGGAAACTGGAAACAGAAATAAATTCTCCAAGCTGCTCCGTTGTGAAGGTGGCTCTCTGGCAAGGCCGCAACACCCGGAGAGCATGGGCCACTGAACAGCCATTGACACCCCATCACCATACACATTCACTCAGGTTATACAAAAGGGGGAGGGGACCTAAGGCAGAGCCCAGGAGACAATTGGGCTGTCCAGCCCTGACCCTCCCTACAGGCTGGACTGGGGCTCGTTGCAGCGCCCCCACTCCCTGGCCCAGACCCGGCCATCTCGGGCTTCGTCTCTCGGCCCCATCTCCATGACAACCGTATCCTTCAGATGCTCCAGCCACCACAGAATTGATCTCAAAATGTAGCTTTGTTAGCAGACCCCAGCGGGCATAGAGGGCGGAGGGCGGCTCCCCGCCATCCTGCATGAGGACCTCTGCCCACACCAGGGACCACTCCTCGGCCCCTGCCCTGCCTCGGGAGAGGAGGGGCGGGGTCCCGGAGCAAGCTGGCCCTGAGGACCCGGCGGCCTGTGCCCCACTCACCGCGCCAGGTCCCCGCGGCTGGGTCCAGCGTCTCACGGCGGGGCCATGTGGAGGCCTCCCCTGGACTGGCCGTCCCGCCCCGCCGTCTCCTGTCCCGGCCCCTGCCCGCTCTGTCCCTTCAGGTGGCCAAGACGCGGCTGTGGAGAAGCTGAGCAGGATGGGGGGACGGACGGCAGGAGGGAGAGAGAGAAGGAGGGAGAGGGAGGGAGCAACGCGCAGAGCAAGAGGAGGGAGGAGCGGGAAGGGCGGGGAAGGGCGGGGGACTTCGGCGCCGAGGAGGAGCGCACCGAGGCCACCCAGCAGGTCCCCCGCGATGCTTGCTCCCCTCCGCCCCAGCTCACAACCTGGGACAGCGAGGGCTTGAGGGACGCCGCCAGCCCTGTCTGCCCCGCCCCGAGCCGGGCCCTTTAAGAAAGTGGGGGAAGGACGAGCCAAGATGTTCCGCCCCTTCCCGGCCCCGCCTGCGAACCCCGGGAGACCCTCCCATGGCCCCTTTGGTGGGGAGGGAGCATCCGCAGCACCGGAGCTAGGACAGCGCAGCCCCCTCCAGGTGAAGGGGGCGGGCCCTGATCCTCTACCACGGTCCCTGGGTCGTCTGACGCCTGCCCTCCAGCGCCCCTACACACACACACCCCTAAATACACTGCCACCCAGGACATCTGGGCAGGACAGAAGAAAGAGCGCAAGGACGAGGAGAGGGTCTCAGAAACACCAAGACTAGGCCTGAGGCACCCAGAAGGAGAGCCAGACCTGTGGTATGGCGTGACCCGGGGAGACAGGGACCAGGCTGAACGGGGCAGGAGAAAAGAAAGAGACCCTGAACCAAGTGGGAGGAGGGACGTGAGAGAGCAACGATGCCATATCCCAGCACCAGGTCAGGCAAGGCCACCCTAAGTAGATAAAAACAAAGAGAGGAAGAGTGAGCGCGGCTGGGGAGACCCCTCCCCCAGGATGGTCTTGACCTTGAAGCCCTCCCCTCGATCCGGCTCTAGCTGGAAGGGGCTTGGCCATGCTGCACTTGGGCTAGACCCTCGGAACAGCTTCCTAATTGTGAGTACCTTGCAAAAAAGATCCACGTCCCAGAGAGGTAGACCTTGGCCTCAGCCACAGGATCTAAGGACGATGGCCAGGGGAGATCCAGAGTGCCTGAAAGGAGGGAAATCAGGTGAGTCAGGCACTGCCACCGGAAACTGCTTTCCACCTTTCTCCTTCCACTCCCGGCCCAGCCCTTGCCTACCTCCTCACCCCTTGACCTTCCACCCAGGGTGTTGATTCTGCTGTACTCAGTGAATTCCTACCCCAACTCTCAAATCCTTCATTATGAAGCCTTTACAGATCTGTTTCTCTCTCTCTCTCTCTCTCTCTCTCTCTCTCTCTCTCTCTCTCTCTCTCACACACACACACACACACACACACACACACACATGTTTGGGGATTCTCTTTTCAGGAAACAGAAGCAGGATTTGCTGGCCTATGAAGGGCGGTTGGCGACTGAGCTGTGACTGATCTCAGCCTCAAGCTGGATCTGAAATTTCATCAACTATGGAACAACCCCTGCTATGAAGTATGCACCTATTACATGCCAAAATCCACACTGAGTCCCTTTCATATGCTATATTTGATCCTCAAAACAATCCTACAGCTGGGCACAGTGAAACACACCTGTAATCTCAGCACTCAGGAAGTTGAGGCAGGAGGATCGCTGTGAGTTCAAGGCCAGCCTGGGCCACATAGTGAGATCCTGTCTCAAAAAAAAAAACAAAAGAAGGGGCTGGTGAGATGGCTCAGTGGTCTAAAGCACCTACTTAGAACAAGCTTAGCAAAGCACAGGGACCTTGGTTCAATCCCCCAGCACCACATGCCAGCCAGCCCCGCTCCCTGGTGGGCTGAGCTGGCCACACACAAACACATAAATAAATAAAATTAAAAAAAAAAGAACTAGTAAGTTTAAAAAAAAAAAGAAGAAGAAGAAGAAGCAAATAGACTCTAGATTGAAAAACATAAGAGACATTTTTAAAACAACCCTACAGCCAGTTTTACAGATAAAATACCAGAGGCTCCAAGAGCATAGGTCATCTGCTCCGAGCCATGGAGGTATAGGGCAGTGGAGACAGCGCTTAGATGACATCCCTCACTCCCCATCAAACCCTAAAATATTCAGGAGCCCAGAAGAAAGGGGCCACTCCCCTCAGGGGCCCAGGACCCCCTGGAAAGGCACAGGTGGCCTGGCTTCCCTGCTGCCTGCAGACAAGCACTGAGGACCAGTGGCAAGAGACAAGGGCTCTGGAGAGAGGCAGAGGAAACAGTTTGATTCTACATGCTGGGGACACATGCGCAGGTCACAGCTGGACACATCTGGGTTTGTAGTTGCTCACCTGTCCCAAGGGGAAGGTAACAGGTTCCATCCCCTGGGGCTGGGATGTGGACAAAAGGAGCCGATGTGTTCAGTGCCACCTGGCACACAGGGGCACTCCATGGTCCATGGGGTTTACTCAGTGAGTGGGTTGCTTACTTCTAGTCCACCTGATAGGCTCTGAGCCTGAATCCCAGTGGTTACAGGGAAGAAAAGTAGATGCAGTAGAGGAAGGGAAAGACACTGGCCCTTCCTTAAATCTGGGCCAATCATTAAGACAGGAAAAACTACAGGGGAATCTATAAAAGCTCAACAAGAGTCTCTAAATTTCTCCTCTCCATTTTTTTTTTTTACAGCTAAACTAGAACTTATATAACCAGAAATATCAGCCTTATAGGTAACCTTCAGCAATAGAGGGGTGTAAGAGCCAACTGGGCACAATCGCTATTCCAGATCCTTAAGAGCAGTTTCCAGTTGTGCCTCTTTCCCCAACCTGCCTGTCCATCCCAGTGCTCATGCTTTGAGCAGGCATGCATTAACTTCTTGGGAAGTTTATTTATTCTTGCCTAGAGGCTACCAAACTCTGCAAAGGATCATACAGATGGAACCAACAACAAATGTAAATGTATTATACTCCTTTTCCAGGCTCCACCAGATCAACCTTGTAAAGAGTTCATAACTGCTAAACTACATGACTTCTGTCTGAGGCCCATTGGATTAGCTCTCATCAACCTTGTAAAGAGTTCATAACTGCTAAACTACATGACTTCTGTCTGAGGCCCATTGGATTAGCTCTCTAGAGAAGGCCCCCCACCTTCAGTTTCCCCTACCCTGACGAAGTATCTAGATGGAAACTCCACCCCTTCTCCTCTAACCAGAGTTCAGGGTTGCCTCTTCAGAGGGGACAATATTATAGACAGAAAAGTTAGGTAGATATATATAGGCAGTCAGATAGGGCTGGACCTTCGAGGGAGATGAGAATGGACCAGGACTGTGGCTGGAGGGCATCTGAAGATTAAAGTGACAAGGGCTATGTTTATACACTTCCCTAAAGGATGAGCAGAGGTTTGGGATTATTGGTGTCACCCTTTTGAGATTTCCCATTAACTCACTAGAGGTAGACCATCCTCTCCCATCTGAGACAAGATCACTAAGACTAAAGACAAAACTAAGGCTATAGATGATACAAATGTACCCTTGCTAACGTTGGGTCAATGTGACCTAAGTAACTATACTCGCAGTCTTATTGGTTGATCATAATTTTGACCCATGTTGTACCCAACTAATGGTTTCACTCTTTAAAATTTCCTTTGAGCGGTGGACTCTTTGGCAACCCATTTGAGACTCCTACTGTCTCTCAGGAGCCATTCCTATTCCCCATTCTCCCATTCCTGCACTCCTTTTCCCCATTCCTTTTCTCCAATAAATTTTTCTACACTTAAAAAAAAATCTAGTGCCAGAACATAGGCCCTGGTTGGACATGCTCTGGTCCTTTGCAGCTCTCTGACTGTCACGGCAAATGCTGGGTCCCACTCCTGCCTCTACTGTGCCCCGCCCTGTGACTGTGGGCAGCTGTGCTTGCCCCTCTCATAAAACTACCTCAGAGGGTGAGGCCTTGGGTACCCTGGGCACAGAGGCGGGGAGCATGGCCATGCATCCTCACAACTACCCTCACCCCTTGAAAGAGAACAAGTTGAGCGTCCCCTGCCCAGCAGCCAAAACCCTGTGTCCACAACCTCTAGGCAAAGAGGGGCCAACAGTTCAGCTGCCTCCTTCCTCCCCGCCTACCTGCTTGCCTTTGGGGGTGACACACCCAACGGACACACACTGAAGGGTCTCCCACATTACAAACTGCCTGGCCCAGGGTTCTGGGGGAGATCACAGAGATATGGGAGGCCCAGTTGCACTGGGAATGGAGCACCCCAAGCAGGAGGAGGGGCACAGCTCCCAGCCTGCCTCTGCCCCTGCACCGTGAGACTCTGCCAGACCCTGCCTTCCTCCCTCAGCTGGGCAGGTCAGGTCCAGAGCATAGGGGAGGGTCATCTTTCTCTTTAGGCCACAGTGTCCACCTCTGTGTCCCTGCACAGCCAGAGCAGAGCCCCCGGACAGCCATGCTAACTAAGGTGTGTAGAAGGTGTGTATAAAGGTGCTAGATGTCATGGTCCTCAGCAGCTGCCACACTACAACCCCAAGTCAACTCATGGAGCTTGGCTTACCTTTGGGGAAGCACTTGCCACAGGTGGGTGGCCCTTCCACAGAACTCTTGCCATGACTTGGATACTTGGATCCTTGGCATTCCTTTTCCACCCCATCCCTGAATGTTCCAATGCCCCAGGTCTTGTCTGCACCCAACCCTTCCAAGGAGCCCACCTTGGCTCTGATGCTTTAATGGACCTCAGCAGCCTCCCAGGCTGAGACCCAGAGGCCCAAGAGCTGCCTGAGGCCAGGCCCACCTGACCTCCTCTCTCCGACTACAGTGTGGGCTCCACCTCCCAGTCTCACACCCCACACCCCATCCCTGGACGGCTCTGCTGCCCCTTCTTTGCTTAATCTGCTTGGACCATTGCCATTACCACCAACTGGTCCTCTGCTTCCACCAACCCTGCCTCTCCACCAGGCCGCACACAGTACCTACGGGACCCTATGAAATGGAAGTGAATCACTGCCTCCCTTCTCAAAATCCTCCAATGGTTCCTGTGTGGTTCAGGGTCACACACCAAGTCTTCACATTGGCCCGTAAGTCCTTTACAACCTAGCCACAGTTCCTCACTGACACCACTCCTCTGCAGCCAGTC